CAAGGTATGGCAAGAGAGATGGTACAGGAACTCATTGTGGCTACAGAAAATGTAGGTTTAAATAGAAATATCTCGAAAACAAAAATCATGACCAATTTGGTGCCCAACCAGAACATCAGTATTGGTGGGAAAGAAATAGAACTCGTAGATAGATATAAATACCTGGGACATGAAATTATGATTGGCAGAGATAACCAGACTCATGAACTGAAGAGAAGAGTCGGCCTTGGGTGGGCAGCATTTGGAAAACTGAGAGAAACTTTTAAAAGTGAGCTGCCCACATGCCTAAAGAGAAAGGTATTTGATCAGTGCGTCCTCCCAGTCTTGACGTACGGAGCAGAAACACTTACCTTAACAAAAGCAGCAGCTACCAAACTGAGAGTCACGCAGAGAAGAATGGAGCGGTCCATGTTAGGAATAACTCTCCGAGACAGAATAACAAACGAAGACATCAGGAGAAGAACCGGAGTGACTGACATCATCGAGAAGATAGCCAGACTAAAATGGAGATGGGCAGGACACATAGCCAGAATGACAGATGGGCGATGGACAAAGAGGTTATTGGAATGGAGGCCAAGGGAAGACAAGAGAAGCGTCGGTCGACCACCTACAAGATGGACTGACGATTTAAGAAGACTCAATAAAAACTGGATAAGAGCGGCGCAAGATAGACGGGGTTGGAAACATGAGGAAGAGGCCTATGTTCAGCAGTGGACTCTTGAGGCTGGATGATGATGATGACAGATGTCACGTCTCAGAGGTGGAAAGCAAATGCACATATCCATAAATATCCCCACTACACACAACTAGGTCTCTGTACATCTCTCTACCTTTTTGTTTATTAGTTTTTACATAGTTGCCGAAATTTGAGGTGCAGTATTTATTTGGTTTAGCTATACAAGAATTTTATCTACGTCGAGGTATCTGAGTGACGTCAGGTCTGTATAAATGTAACATTTCTTAGAAGTCATAGGACTTATTAATATTAATTTTAGATGTTTCAATGGCTGACAAAAATTTACCTGTGCCTTCTAAAGGGACACAAGTTGTTAAATTTAATGATTCTCAATATGAAGAAACTCTTTTAAAATGGACTGTAGAGCTTAGCGACGTCACCGATTTCGTAAGTGATGAAAATTACATTCCAAGTAAAGATTTCTCAGAAAGTGATACAGAAAACGATGTTGCTGTAAAGGTTGTAGTAATAGATAAACAAAATAATTAAGACTGACCACATGTCAAGCGAAGAAAATTTAACATTAGAAAAGAAAAAATTGCTATGGAAAAAATCGCTACAAGTGGTCTTCCCAACCTGCAATAAATAAGAACAGCCGCACTGCAAAACACAATCTTTAAATCAGATGTCCAGTATTACGAAATTGCAACGATAATAATAGTGATCCATTAAATTCCTCTAACCTACTGTTCTCTGATGAAATAATGGAAACAGTCCTACTATTGAAACTATTCGCAACATACTAGTGATCTCTGTGACTTGGACCTTATAGAATTTCGGACTTTTATTGGTGCTCTAATGTGAACAGCCATTTTTAAATTCGATCATGAAGATATCAGATCTATATTTTAAACGGATGGATCAGGACGAGACATATTCCGGGCATAACTAATTCCAACAGGTTTGCTAATATTCTTACTTATCTGCGCTTTGATAACCCTGATACACGAACTCAGAGAAAAGCAACTCACCCTATAGCCGCTATTTCTAATATTTTTGACATATTTAACCATATTTAATTGGATCCAATATATGTATTGACGAAATGTTGGTATCATTTCGTGGGAGCTGTAAATTTGAAATGTATATGCCCAAAAAACCTTGCATATATGTTTTAAAGATTATGGCCCTCTGTGATGCTAGATCAGGATATTTATGAAATGCCTATATATACAGTTTTAAAGAGACAATTCAAGACAAGTGATATGTGAATGACAATTCTAACTTTATTGACCGCAGTCGAAATAGTCCTGAATTGGTCAAGAAAAAGCATTTTCGTAAGTTCTTTAGCCAAGATATTCTTCTTCCTGGTCCCCTCTTTCCGTAGACCTTTTCCTGTAATATAAGTTGCAGCAGGTTATATCTATGCTCGTTTCGCAATATATGTCCAAAATATCCTAGCTTGCCCTGTTTCACTGTTTCTACTAATCTTAGCTACCTATCACAAGTGATAGGTAGTTTTCAAAAAGTAATCAGATAATATATGCCCATTAAGAATGATTTGTAAAATCAAATTTATATTTGAGTGCACGAGATGCAAAACTCGCTAATCGGCAAAAATTGAAAAAAGTAGTTAAGCACGTCATCTTGTTCGTACAATATTTAATTATTATTTTACACAAGTATTTGGAGCAAAATTAGCTTTTTAACACACGAAAATGCGTCCCAAAAATCATGACTTGATGCAAAACTCGCTTTATGCATTGATGCATGCGATGCAAAACTCTGTATTTGTACGGCGTTCAATCACAGCATCGGATTTTACTCACGTGGTTAGGGAAGGGCATCATGCATGTTGTTTGTTTCCTGGTGTGGTTTGACCGTTTGACTCAGTCGCGTTTTAGCGGTATTCTGAATTGTTTGTTTAACTTGAAGTTTCCCGTTTTTAAAATTATTAAAATGCAAATAGACAGTGAAATTTCTGCAGCCAATGATAGTTTTAGTTCTGCAATACAACCTACTCCAAAGAACATGTGTAGAACGAAAATTACGACGGAAAGTAAAAGATAAAATCTTAAAAGATTAAGGTAATAAAAACGATATCAATTTGTTAGAATATTTTTTTAAAACTGTGTTATTTTAGGCACACTATGACACATTTGCCGGAGTACCCGACCTGTGGACATAACGGTCAGCCAGGTAAGCCGTACTACTTTACTTGTGTGCCACTTTAACAATGAGCGAAATTCAAGATTTTCATAGAAAACTGTATGCTACTAAGGAAAAATGTAGACAAGATAGTTTTATAATTGCAACTTGTGAAGGCCAGAAGTGCAAACGATCAAAAGTCGAAAAGGAAAAAATATCCATTTTGTATTATGTAACCACTTCTGCTAAAAAAATCCGTGTTTGTAAGATGGCATTCTTAAAAATCACATCCCTTAGTAGAGATCGGATTAAGAGTCATGAAAAACTTTGTTTTAAAGGGAATATACCATGAGAAACAAGAGGAGGTGATCGCATCCTTAATAAAAACGATGATAAAAAGTTAGCAATAAAACATTTCATTGAATCTCTCCAATGCATAGAGAGCCATTACTGTAGAAGTAAAATCAGTACTCGTGTTTATTTACCATGTGAACTTAATTTTACAATATTATGGAAAATATACGAATCCAAAGCGATAACCAACTACGTGTTAAATTGGCATTTTTTAGGACATACATAAATTCTAATTACAACATCGGATTTGGCATCCCAAAAACTGATTTATGCTCAACATGCTTAAGATCCAAGGAAAAGTTAAAAAACAAAAATATTTCTAGTTCAGAAAAGCAAATTATTATCACCGAGCAACGGATACATAGACTTAAAGCAAAGGCATTTTTTGCCTTATTAAAGCAGCCGCTAGAAAATACAGCGGTTTTTTTCGTTTGATTGTCAGAAAAATTTGCCTTTGCCTAAGCTTCCGGATCAAGCTAGTTATTTTAGTCAACAAATTAACTATTACAACTTTATGGTAATTCATGGATCATCAGCAGCACAGTTGGTTCCAGAAAATTTTTATTATTATGTTTGGACGGAGGTGGATTTTCCCAAAAATTCTATTTCGATAGCTTCAGCTGTTTGGGATGTACTGAATAAGTTTAACTTTCCCAGTGAAATCGATACAATTTGTTTATTTGCTGATGGATGTGGGGGGCAAAATAAGAATATTATAATGATGACCATGCTTTCTGTTTGGTTGATGACGAAAGCTCCCACAAACATAAAGACCATTACCATAATATTCCCCGTAGTGGACATTCTTTTATACCACCTGATAGGTTGTTCGGAATGATTGAAAGAGAGGTAAAAAAGAAATCCATTATTTTAAAAACTTCTGACTACGAAGATATTATAGCAAATAAGTCGACAATTAGAAAATTGGGTTTAGATTGGCAGGTGTATGACTGGAAGAATGAAGCACAAGTAAACACCAAAGCACCATCCTCATGGCACTTTCAGTTTAATAAGGCTAAAAGGTTTGTGCTTACTAAAGAGAAAACCAATGCACTAATACGAGGTGAGCCCAATTATTGTGTTGACGTCGGTGAAGCCAAGTCTGTTGTTAAGAGAGGAATAGAATTGACACGTATCAATCCTACTCAACTTCCTATTGGCTGCAAACTCAAAGGTGATAAATCGACAATAATTTCTCTTCTCAAAAAACATTATGGAAACGCCTGGGAAGAAAATCCTGATTTGGTTTTCTTTAAAGGAAATCTTGTTAACCCTCGAAGGGTGGAAAACCAGACTTCTGTAAACGATGTTGAAGCTGGCTGCAGTGGTTTAAAACCTTGCGATATTAATTTACCAATTTAATGTAATATGTAAATAACTGTTTAATTTCTTTGTGAATAAAATTTGTTCCAAACTCTTGATGTAACACTTTTTGGTGCAAAACTCGCTAAATGCATTCTTTTTTCTTCATTTATTTAAAAAATCTGCACAATTTTTTTAAAATATGTTAAAAACTATTAGAGGTGTATATGTTCTAAAGGCAAGCTAACATCATTAATTGGTTATTAACAAATATAACGCAAAAAACGTTTTTTGCACTTTTCTCAAATTGACTTTACATGCATTAAGCGAGTTTTGCATCTCGTGCACTCATTTAAATTATATTATTTCGTTATATGATATTGACTTTTGTGTATAGTAGTATTTAATGGCTTACATTAAAGTACATTGTATAAAAATAATTTTTGTGATTAAAGAAAGCTTCAACTCAGAAACTAAGTATTTATGATCCATACAAGTGATTCAAAATGTTTAGTCTTACCTCTTGCCTCTGTTTGTTTTAGAAGATTTGTCGTATACAAATCCATAAGTCCGAGTTGATACACATACTCAGCATAATGAATCTGCTCAATGGGATCGGTATAACCATTACCAATAGCTAAACCCTTGAGATTAATCTTTAGCTTTGCTTCCGGATTTGCTTGATGAATTTTATAACTTATAGCGGGAACATATTTCCCTGCATAAGACTCTCCTGTAACGTAAAAGTCTTGATGTTGGTACTGATAAAAGAGGGTGAAAAACTGCTGTAAAGCTGCGTACAGATCAGTAGCTACTTTAGTTTGATTGGAAGCATATCCATCTGTGGTAAAACTCCATCCAGTTCCAGCTGGCTGATCGATGTATATAACTGAGTTGTTCTTATTCCAAGATGTCTCTCTAATACCAAGGTTACCATCTGAAAAAATAATATTTATTTAATGTAGAAAATTATAATGAAACTGTTTAATCAAATTGAAATGAAAGCAACTATTAAGCTTACTTAATGTCTACTTTCGAGGTTTTATAGATACAACTACAAAAAAGATTAAATTATTGTCAGGTTTTGTAGCAGTACACCAAATAGTGCAAAAGCCACCGTTGGAAAAACGGCCAAAATATGGAAGGACTCTCAAATTTCATTAACTCAAAAAATTAGGTTAATCAACTGCTTTATATTTCCAATACTGAGATACTTCTTCTTTAGGTAACGTCTGCTCTAAGGAGGTTGGTAACATCATTTTTACTTTTGAGATTGCAGCTCTGAACAAGTCGATGGAACTGCAATTATACCACTTTCTCAGATTGTTGAGCCAGGAGATGCGTCTTCTTCCAATACTTCGTTTTCCCCTGTATTATGGTTTGTAGCAACACATATTTATCTCCTCTCATAACGTGGCCGAGATATTGTAACTTTCTTATCTTAATCGTATTCATGATTTCCATTTCCTTTGTCATCTTTCTGAGGACCTCAACATTTGTTATTCGGTCTACCCAACTTATTTTTAATATTTTTAGGTAGGTCCACATCTCGAATGCTTTAAGTCGATCGCTTACCTCTTTCTTTAAGGTCCAGGCCTCCACCCCATACAGCAGCACCGAAAACACATAATAATGTAATCTTCTTATTTTGAGTTGCAAACTAAAGTCTTTACTTGCATAATACTTTTCACATCTTATTAAATGTTGCTCTCGCTTATCCAATTCTCAATTTTTTAATTGATTTTTGACACATTGACATTTTTTATTTTTTCAAACATTTTTGAGTGATTTTTTAGTTATTTTTCCAATTATAGATAAGGAAGAGGGTATGCATGCAACCTTGCCTTACGCCTCTTTTTATCTCTACTTCCTCCAAAAGTTCTTAGATTACTCTGACTTTTGCTGTTTGGTTAAAGTAGAGATGAGTTATTATTCTTAAGTCTCTTTTGTCAATGTGTTTATCATCAAGTAACTGTATAAGAATATTTGGACCTATATCATATTCCTCGCAATTGTTCATGCTATTTTGTCGTGTCCTGTCGCCCTCAAACAATTCTTGGACGTATTCTCTCCGTCTGTTTAGTTTGCCTTTGATATCAGATATTATTTTACCATTCGTATCAACCAGGGTGTTACTATTGTTGAACCGTCTTATACCTGCTAATTCTTTAATTTTTTTGTTCAATTCAAAACTATCATGATTTCTCTGGAGTTCTTCTATCTCTAAACATTTGTCGCTGTACCACTTCTCTTTAGCTGCCCGTATTTTTATCCTGATCTCCTTGTGTGTGGCTTTGTATTCGTTTACATTTTTGTTTTTGTATGATCTTCTTTTATCCATTAGTTGCCGGATCTCATCTGTCATCCATGGAGTCTTAGCTTCATCGATTTTGTGACTACTCAGCGTATCTTTAATTGGCATCATTAATGTGTTCTTAAATGTTTCCATTTTTCGTTGGAATCTTCATTATCAATGATTATTGTTTTGCTTAACTCCTCGTTAATTTTCAACGTTAGTTTCTCTTTTATATTTGGGTGTTTTAGCAGAGTGTTCGTTGTGTCTTTTGTTGATTTTTTATTTTCTTTAAGTGGATTTCGAATTTTACGATTACTGGATTGTGGTCTGATGATACATCTGTTCCTGGATATGTCTTTGCCGATTTGATGGAGTTACGGTATCTCTTATTGATAAGGATATAATCTATCTGGTTTCTAATAATTTTTCTTTGCTATCCACAGGTGATTTTCATGTATATAATTTACGTCATGGTAACTGAAAGAATGTATTTCTCGCTATCATTTTAAACTCCTGACAGAATATGCCAGTCTTTCCCCTCTTTCGTTCCTTATTCCTAGTCCGAATTCACCAATAAAGTCTTGGAATTTACCTTTTCCTAATTTGGAATTAAAATCCCTCATTGCTGTTGTTATAGCTGTCTAGTGCTTTTTTAATGTCATTGTAGAACTCTTATATTTTATTTTCATCTTTATCTGCAGTGGGGACGTACACCTGTATGATATTAAGAGTTCTATGCGCTGTTTGGGCTGTAATCATTAACACTCTATCCGATATAGGAACAAAACCAGTTACAGCCTGGCAAAAACTGCGATCAATCACTATCGTGACGCCATTATAGTGGTGAATATCTTAATTTCCTGAGTAGTATATTTTGGCACCGTCGACTTCGATTTCGCCAGATCTAGGTCATCTGGTCTCGCTTAGTCCCATTATATTTACTTCAACTCGCCTCATCTCATGTATTATATTGTGGATCTTTCCTGTTTTATATATAGACTTCACATTCCAGGTACCTATCTACAGTTCGTTTATACATATCGGGCAAGACCCTACCGGATCTTGGTATCCGATGTCCATGATTGGTAGTTATAAAATTATCATTTAAAATAGCCATGATAATTGACAAAAGAAGATCTTTAATGTAGTGGTTTGTCGTTGCCTTCTACATTCTTCTACCGTTGACCACTTCTTTGGTTTATCCGCCTTTGGAGTCGATTTCTTAGCTCAAGGACAAAAGAGTGCCCTATCACTTATCAACTCATCCACCCGTAGCGGTTGGTCAGTAAGTGAGAGATTGCTTATATCGGCAATCCTATGACCCTATTAGGTCGAAATACGTATCAACAGATACATACGATTTGTTTACGTGAAATCAAATATTTGCTGCCTTTTTTCATTTTATTCGGATTTACTCTGTGTGAGTACTAGAAGCACAATTCGCTAAGGATTTCTGCTTAGTTGTAAAAGACATGTCGTGGAATGCAAATTTTAGATTCCCCATGTCTCTTTTAACATCTTTTATCAACGTCTGTTTGCCTTGCAATTTTTAGAAGGCTCAGATTATAAAGCAGAAATCTGAATTATGTTTCGCGACTATTTTACGATTTTAACAAAAATTTTAATAAGCATTTTTTGTGTGGAATGAACAGTTCTCTTAGAAACAACTCCTAAAGCGACCGTCAATTTTGCATGTCAGTTACGCGCGCGAAATAAATGTTCAATAAAATTTGTATCAGCTGGACGGTAAAAATTCGATATCTTTTGATTCAAATAACATATGAAATGCGAAGACGAAGGCGACATATTACATCGATTCCGAACTACGTAAGCCACTACTGTCGACAAAAAAGCGATAAAAGATGTTTGCCTTCATTTTATACACTCACTAGACTATACGAAGAATTTAAAAAATAGATATCACCACGAAATCCTGTCGGCCGTAAGGTATACGAATCTGTCTTTCATACTATGAATATTTCTATTAAAAAGTTTAAAAAGGATACGTGTTAAATATGTGACAAATACAAGGCCCTAATTCAAAATGAACATAGTACAGAAGTTAAAGAACACTTAAGAAAAACGTTAGACAAACACATGGAAGATGCTGAAAATGCTTACGCCGCTAAACGCAAAGATAAGGAAAAAGCTGTCAAAGATGATTCCAAAATAGTCTATTCGTTTTTTCGTTATTACAAAAATTTTCATTTAGTGGCTATGTTTTTAATATCAATTAATCAATCTCATTTAAAATTCATAAATCAAAAATTCTTGACTCCAGGACATACTTATATGGAGTATGACACAGATCACTCCATAATTAAAAAAAGAAGAAGTTTGAACACAAAATTGAACATCCACCTGATTGGGTTCAGCTTTTGAGATTATGTGGCCATAAGAATCCATGTCAGAGAAGCTAAAAATAGAAATCTAAAAGAACAGTGTAAGGAAATGGAGATATTGCAACGTAAACACGATTCCTTCAACCTCCACAAAAAGATCAAAGAAGCAGCAGGCATCTATAAATCAAAAAGGTCGGGACACTTAACAGACGCTCAGGGAAATCCAATAGTTGATATTGAAGAAACAAAAACAACGTGGACAACTATGTGACAACAACATTTGAAGACGATAGGAATGTCACCACCACACAAAATAGAAATGACGATACCGGACCACCTATTCTCGAAACGGAAGTAGAAGCTGCTATAAACAACATTAAGGAGGGAAAAGACGCAGGACCAGACGTGTTCTACTCAGAATTTTTGAAAAGAATGGATAAAGACGAATTAAAAAGACTTGTACAACAATGTATATATATTGTTCTGAAGCTATTTTCTTGTGGCATTGTAAATTAATTACTATTTATAACTGGGAATAAGCCACAATTAAAGATAAAAATACGTTTATTGACGTTTCAATTTCCAATTCGGAAATCGTTCTCAAAATACAAACAGTAAATTAAACAATTTTTGTTTTTTTGTTACATAGTGAAAAAATTCTTCTAATAATTTAATTTTATCTGACTCATTTATATTGACAATTCAGACATACATTATACATTTTAAAGTAGACGACTTTAAAAACCTCATAATACTATCCGGATATTGTAAGTATTTGTTCGTGAATTTAGTTTACCTTCAACAAACATCAAAATTCTGATTTTATATGTTACGTTATTTAAAAAACATAAATGATGTATCCTCTATATGTTACTGACTTACTAATACTGGTATTTTCTTATTAATAACTTCCTCTTTCAATATTGGTAACCAGATCCTACTACATTCTGCCGAGGAATTTGCGACACAATTGGCCTCATTTAGCATAATTAGAGCCGCTTCTTTGATTTTTCTTTTTTTACCATCCGTTTCTTTTAGGACTATATTTGAATTATTCCATTGAACCCTATGTTCATTATCCCATGCGTGTTTACATATTTGAGATCTATCAAATTCTCTATTTTTAATATAAGATTGATGTTCACTTATTCTAACATTTAATGGCCTTGATGATTCACCTAAATAAAACTGATCGCATTCACAAGGTATTTTATAAATGCAATTCTTTGTCCTTTCTTGTTCATTGTTAGGTTTGGTTTTGGACAAAATAAATCTCAACGTGTTTGTTGTTTTGAATGT